CCTATAGTAATTGTATCATCATTGGAAGTCAGTCAATAATTTCATAGAATTTTTATCAGTTTTTAAAAATCTCATTCACCATCCTGCATTTTGAGGCCAAACAGTGCATTTTGTAAACTTTAAGAGGATTGTGCGACCGCCAAAATCAGATTTGTCACGGAATCAGCAACATGGTTAATTTGTGGATCCAACCATATAACAAAACATCAGTATAGTAGAACTGCGCGGTTGCGCAATCGTCAAAATAGAAGCGCACTCAGCAAATTGTAAGCGGAGTCCGCAAGTTGTAAGCGGAGTCCGCATGTTCTTTGCGAATTTCAGCAACATATACAGTAGCGTCTGTAAGTTTAGTCTTATGTTTACTAAGTGTGGGTCACCAGCGAAATCAATTTCAATTACAGCCAACAGTTGAGTCTTACTTCCAAACGTTCGATCTAATTTCCTGCCAACTGACCTTTTTTACTATTTCTTCACAGCTATTTCCATTTTCAGACATTCAACTCTGATTCAATTTTAAATTAGTGAGTAAAAACCCAATTAAGCTGAAAAGCCAATTAAATATTGAAATTTTTGAAATGCTTAGTTTTTACAAAAATGGCTGTTCAAAATAATACATGCATAGGGGGAAGTAGCTAGGAGGGTCCAAAAGGGGGGTGGGAATTGTTTTCTAGACCCAGACAATTTTCCTCTGAAATACTGACAGCATATTCCGTTCAGTTCGTTCATTTATACAGTGAGGCGGACCGTTAAACCTCAAAAGCTGACAATGCGTATTGTTCAGTTCGTTCCAATATACTATTCGAATTCAAATCTTAAATACTAAAAATACGATCCATTTGGTTCAAATCTCAAATGTTGAACTTACATTTTGTTCAGTTTGCACCATTTTAAAATTCAATTTTTGATGTATCTTCAATACTGATAAACCTCAAATGTTGCATGACATTAGTCCCTCATAATGATATTTTTTTTTATCATATGTGGTGTTTTTGTTTTCAGAATTTTGATCCAACAAATGACTTACAGGGAAATTCATGTCAAATACTGAAGGGTACATTCACAATTTAGTCGGCTAATGATTTAAAAATAGTTCGTGGTTTCCGCTGACAATCTTTTCTTTTAAATACCGCAATTGCAAGATAAAAAAATAGTAGCTCTAGTTTTTAATTGTTCATACGCAAGAACGGATTTAGCTCAGTTAATAAAAAAAAAATTGAGGAATCAAGATTGTAATAAAAAACAAAATTGAGGAAAAGACAAAATTTTGCCGATTTCACTTACAACTTGCAGACTCCGCTTACAATTGCGCAATCCAAAACAATTAGCTATAATTACTGGTTGCGGAATCCGGAACAACACAAACATTCGACAAAATTTTTGTTACAAGTATTTGTACGCAAATTTCACGGAAAATTTGCTAATGGAATCCACTTGAACTTTTGGAATTCTTTAAAGACTTGTATCTGGATTCCACAGACCTAAATACACCAAATTGTGTGCACATTTTAACCTCGTAATTAGACCAAAAATTGAACCCAAAAAAACTAAATTCCACTATTTCTAGAAAACTTTGGCTGTTAACGGTGAAGTTTTTAATTTTTCATGATGAACTTTTTGTCCAATCAGATGAATCTAGCAAACATTCTAAACAAATTTCAACTTTTTTCTAAAGCATTCCACTAATCACGTCAGGTTCAGCGCTGTCGGTTTTCATAAAAGTAAGGGATGATTAAAAAATCTAATTATAGATCGCAGCGTATATGGCTCGACATTTGGTTTCCACGGAGTCTGCTCACCTCATCTTTGTACATAATTGCATAAATGCATTTCAAACTCGAATTGCAAAGCTGATAAATTGGATTGATAGTATTTTAAAGAAAATTTTCTAACATTGTTTTGTTAGGTGAAATTTTTTGGTTAAAGCACCATATATGCTGCGATTTACAATTTATAAGACAGTTTTCGTAGTTCACCAATTACATTCAGAAATGTATCGAAAAAATATTATGGTTCTTTCACTAAAAATCCTTCACAGAATTTTAATTAAAAAATTTTCCCACACAGAAAAGATTCTTGCATTTATAGGTAATTTATTAAATTTTTTAATAAATTTTTAAATAAATAAAAAAGGAAATTACCTACAAAGTCGCTGGTGGGGATCTGCTGATCATGTTGATTATAATTCTTCTTCAAAAACTTGTTTTTTCTTGGACCATAGCAATTTATTTTGTACATGCTTTATTACCATCTATATGCTTGTGACCTTCCTACCGAGTAAATATTGTGCTCAAATTGAGTAAAGGCGGCTCAAAAAAGCATCGACTGTCTTGAATGAAATTATTGGGTAAAAATGGGTCATATCACATCGACCAAAGTATTTTTTTTGGATTTTCTATCGATCAACTTCTACCAAATTTTTATTTTTAATACATGCTAGGAGACAGAAGTTTCAAATTTCTTTAAAACTCATACTTAAACAGTTTATTTAAATGAAAATTTTTTTATCGAAAAAAAAACAAATTGATCTGATATGAACATTTTTTTTGGGAATATACGAGACACAATCGTTTGCCTCAACTCAATTTAGAAAGATTACTGAGAATCATCACACCACAATTTACGCTCTAACACAACGAAATCTATTGCTCGTTAACTATCCCAAATCGCCTACAATACGCTTTCTTATTAACCTCAGGTATTTTGTGGTCAAAACTACTCATCAATTTATTTTAGTTTTGAGCGCATGGCATCAATTGGTTTCAGACTACTTAAAGAAGTTTGTCACAATTGCTTGTTAAAGTAAGAAAAGTGTCGGGAAAAAAACCGAGAGCACAAATTTTCCGTCTTTTTCTTGGAAAATCAGAACTAAAATACTGGAAAATAATGAGGCTGTATCGACAAGTTTTGATGCCGTTCAACTACAAAGTAGGTGAAAGCTGATGTTAAATTTTTTTGAGGTAAACCATTTAACATTGGTATATCACGATGAATGAAACATTAAGGATTTTATTTGTACATCTCCACTGCTTGGGTCAAAAACTTAGATTTTTTCGTGAGTATGACTGAAAACGATTTGATCTCAGTCATTGACTGCAAAAGTACAAATTAACAACGGTTTTAATTTATAACTGCAATAGTTCTTAGAACATTTGAGTGTTTCAATTCTTCTTCTTGTTTCAATTTGTATTTTTTTTGAATCGTTATGGAACATCGTAGCAATTGAAGACATTATCATGGAATAACAATTTAGTCTAACAAAAAAGTTCGAGTGCAGCTTAAAATAGTAACGTTTCTTTTTTGGAGTTGGTTTTGCGTTTTTCAATGAGTGTCATATACGGATCTAGGAAATTTTTAAAGAATGGGTCAAATTTATAATTTTTTTAAACTGTTTTGCAGACAACTTGTTACTGGTCAGAAGCTTTTCTTGCTTTATAAAATAGTGAAAGAAAGTACAACTCTCTCATTTTTAAGAATTAGTTTCAAATAATCATTTATCTTGCAAAAGCCACATGTTTGTAGACAATTGTCAACTATTTTGTGGTGCGGATTTCTGTCAGCAAGAAAAACACACTATAAACCAACTTTTTGATAAGCCAACGCTCCTCTATTTTAACGTCGGAGTTGGTAGGAGACACACTAATCTTTGATCAAAATTGTTTGTTTTTATTACAGAACTCAAGTCAAGGTCGTGGTTTTATGTTACAAATCTGAATCTATCCGCGTTGGGACCAAAAATTCATAGTCGCAACGCAGGTCAAAGTCTGCAAAGTCTGATCATGACTTGCAAAAACTGAACAAAAAATCAGCTAAATCTGAACATTAGCCCTTAAAGCCTAACTACAATACTGCATAAGTTTGCAAAGCCTACAAGTAATAATACAAATAAAACAATTAAACTGCCCATTTGTCTCAACGCTTCTCTGCTTCCTGAGAATTTTTTCTAATGTGTGGATCTGCAAATAAATGCATCTGATGAAAAAGTTTCCAGGCAACTGTAGCTCTTCAAGCAGGTGATAAATCGCTGCTGTTGTTGTTGTATTGCTTACAGCCTAAAGTCCCGACAGCAAAGAGGGAAAAATCCCATTTGATCACATCATTTTTGCTAAATTCGGGTGCGCATCAATGGCTATGGTAGGGCAGTGTATTCGTTTTCTACCTCTTTGCTCGTTTTCGGTACTTTAGGTTATAAACCACAACAACAACAACAGCAGTGATTAATCGATTTTTCAAGCAGCAACAGTTTGCCTAGAAACACGTTTTTACAGGCAACAGGTTGTCTGCAAAGTCTGAACATAATTTCTGTAAAGTCTGCACAATCGGTAAAACTTGTAAGGAATAAAAATGTCAAGTTTATGAATTTTATGAAAAATGTCAAGTTTATGAGAACAAATTTTTTATTGCATTGAAAAACGTGTTCTCTTTTCTTTGGCCATATACGGATACGAAAGTTTGATTATTTAAAATTAATAAATTATACGGATGCATTAAGCTAAAAGCTGATTAATAAAGGATACGGATGTCTAAAACTGGATTTTGTCGTTCCTCACGGTATGAATCAGGTCAGGTTCGGTCAGAACGGTCTGATGCCGGATTCATTTTGTCCCCGCGGACTTAGCTGAACATAGCAATTTGTGGTCTCCACGGTCTGAAAAAACAACCAAAGTTCAGTCGCAACGTTCTAAACATACTATATTTTGGTCCACAGGGTCTGAACATACAACCTCGGCCTCGACCTCGACCCGGGAATTTCAACTGTCATGAAGTATTGCTTGATTGCTTGGTTTTCAAAGTTGTGTGCAA